TTAGAGACTTGCAGGGGTTTGATGTCTTGCTTGTTTTTCTTGAGCTCTAATGGTGACTGCAGATGCTTCATCAGTCTCCTTTTTTCAAGTTCCTCCAAACTTCTATGGCCTGGTATATTTCCAACCACCAAGTCATAAATATGTGCCTTCATACACATGACCTCAATGTCTCCCACATAGTATGGAGTATCTACCTTTATTCTTGCTAGGGGCAATTTCTCACTGTCCCATCAATCAGCACACAAAGATGTACCTTGCCTGTCATCAGATATTAGACTGTTTCTTAGTGCTGCAATACTGCACCCAGTGTCTCGTAAGACATTCACTTTCTTGTCACCGACATAGCCTTCACATATTGGCATGTTGTGAGTTGTTGGCACCTATCAATGTTTGTCACATACTCCAATCACCACTGGCACTATTGACCCATTTGCTAACTTGAGCTGACCATCAGTCGTACACTGTTTAATCATGGAGATAACACTTTCTTCTTGTGGTGAATCTGACATGTTGTTCCTATTCTGTTTCTTCTGGCAGCGGCGTCCATGCTGATTGTCACTATTTTCTTGTTTCTTGCCAACACCACCTTTGTAGGTAGCTCGAGCTGCTTTATGTAGAGATTCTGCTGTTGCTTGTTGATGACACAGTTGCACTCATTTGCAATGTGTTTAATTTTGTAACAAATATAGTATCTCTTCTCCCTTTTGTCCATTGAATTCTTGTCACCTTTGGTAGTATCCTGTTTCTGGTCAGCTACTCCTGGTTTCAACTTTAACTGGTTATTCTTGGACTTGGCAGTTATACACTCTTCACATGCTTCCATATACTTTTCTGCCAGCTTAATCATCTCGTCTCATCTTTGGTGCTCTCTTCTTTAGGAACAGTGACATGTCAGTTGAGGACGTAATCATGAACTGTTCACGTTTTAGTAGATCTCCCAGTCCTTCAAGACTATTTTCACACTTGGCCATATCAGTCCATCTTGTGAAGTATCGCCATAGACGTGCCACAAAGTGAAATACAGTTTCTCCAGTGTCAGTTTTGACTTCTCTGAACTTCTGATGAAAACCTTCCTTGGTATGTTCATAGAGTTTAAACAAGGCCACTTTTAACTTGTCATGGTCCATAGCGTCTTCTGATGTCATGCCTGCATATACTCGTAGGCCTTTTCCGGTGAGAAGTGGGCTGAGACAGACTGCCCAGTCACCTTTGTCCCAGTTCTGTTTTTTGGGCAAATATTTGATATCTCTCAGGAAAGCATCCATATCATCTTTCTGTTCATCAAACTTGGGCAGCTTGGGTTCGCTAGCCCTGACTCCATTGTCATTCTTGGGTCCTTTGTCTAGTTCTAGTCTCTCCTTTTCTTCTTTCAGTCTTTCTTCCTTACTTGTCTGTTGATGCTCTTCTCTTTCTAAGTCTTGTTGTTGTTAAACGAACTCTCGTAGATCACCATCTTTGAGCGCAAGTCGCTCACATCTCTCTATCCATTTATCAAAACCAGTCGACAAAGTTATACAGCACAATTGTAATCTCTACACTATTTTCATCACCACTGCAATTGTGCTTATATAGGCCCACTTTCGCTGTCGTTGCCACTGTGTCTGCTTATACTGCTACAAACCGAATTTCAATGCCCGTGGTGGGCAGAGCACAGATAGCCCTTTGGGTAGCTTTGTGCTTAATAACAAACAACAAAATCCGCTGTCGTTCACGTTTTCTTCTACCGCCGTTTACCACTGTATAATCCTGGCTGGTTCCTCGTTATCACTTTTATAGAGGCCGAATTCTTTACAGTATGGGTCTGTGATTTGTTGTTGATATATGTCAACAATAAGACGGATAACACACAATCCACTTGCTTGAAAATAATATATTCAAAACAAGTCAAACGTATGTACAAAATTTCGTTACAATATTGGTTATCATAGCTGTATCCAGAGCTTTAAATAAATGTCTTCTTTTTGTCAAAGCTCAAACAGGCGGGTTCAGTTACTTTAGAACAACTTTTGATGAGACAAATTATTCTCCTCTATCCCTGTTATTACAATACTCAAGCTGTAAATCTCACTTTCGAAATCGCCCGTTATGGCTAATCTGGTATGCAGCATAACTTCACTAACTTAACTTGCACTAACTATGTCTTGCCCGATTAAGGCCTAGAACTTTCCACAAACTATGAGACGTTATGATGTAACAATAATCACAAGAAGCAAAAAGAAAAATTAAGAAAGCTCGAGTAACGTGACTTCAATTCACAACAACTGAACTACACAATAAATGGTTCGTTAACAGTTACATAAGCAAACCTGCAATAAATTATCGCCTCTAAAATACTAGATTTAACATTCGTGCTTTATAACTATCTTATGGAAGTCATGAACCGTAAAATGAAAAAAAAATGGGAAGGTCTCATATTGTACGTACGAGATGAGACCTTTAATATATATTTTTTCACTTTGCGGTTGAGGACTTCGGTACTATCTAAATCATAACTCTCGTATTAAATTTAATAATGGGATATGATTGTCGCTCAGCTGGACCGTTCGAAGCATATATGATTTTAATTCTCAAGTTTTTCATTTTATGTTCTGTGAATTATACTAATCGTGAATTTAAATTGTATGACCCAAAACTCCTTGGAAAAGCAAATTTAATTCTTTTATATAAAAAAAATATCAAGTTAATTTCTTAAAAGACAAGATTTCATTGATATTTTAAAAAACTATCAATAAGCAAAAGTTTTAATGCTACAATTTTATACTACCAGCAGTTTATATTTCTTAGTGAAATCATGTCGAAGAACATTATATTTTGTGACTAATTACAAACAAACTTTTTACCATGTCCAATATATATATACGTTAGACGTATACACTTCAAGATTTTACATGGTGAAGCTGTAAACAATATGCGGTGAGATTTGTGACAAATCTGTATGTACTGTTCAGATTAATTTGTGACAAATCTGTATGTACTGTTCAGATTGATTTGTGACAAATCTGTACATACTGTTCAGATTGATTTGTGACAAATCTGTACATACTGTTCAGATTGATTTGTGACAAATCTGTATATACTGTTCAGATTGATTTGTCACAAATCTGTATGTACTGTTCAGATTGATTTGTCACAAATCTGTATATACTGTTCAGATTGATTTGTGACAAATCTGTATATACTGTTCAGATTGATTTGTGACAAATCTGTATGTACTGTTCAGATTGATTTGTGACAAATCTGTATATACTGTTCAGATTGATTTGTGACAAATCTGTATATACTGTTCAGATTGATTTGTGACAAATCTGTATATACTGTTCAGATTGGTGTGGGACAAATCTGTATATACCGTTCAGATTGATTTGTGACAAATCTGTATATATACCGTTCAGATTGATTTGTGACAAATCTTTATATACTGTTCAGATTGATTTGTGAAAAATCTAGATATACTGTTCAGATTGATTTGTGACAAATCTGTATATACTGTTCAGATTGATTTGTGACAAATCTTTATATACTGTTCAGATTGATTTGTGAAAAATCTAGATATACTGTTCAGATTGATTTGTGACAAATCTGTATATACTGTTCAGATTGGTGTGGGACAAATCTGTGTATACTGTTCAGATTGGTGTGGGACAAATCTGTATATACTGTTCAGATTGATTTGTGACAAATCTGTATATACCGTTCAGATTGATTTGTGACAGATCTATATATATACTGTTCAGATTAATTTGTGAAAAAACTGTATATACTGTTCAGATTGATTTGTGAAAAATCTAGATATACTATTCAGATTGAGTTGTGAAATTATCGGTTCAAATGAAATTTATATATCGGGCAAGCGGTTTATAGTATATCTATCTATCTATCTATATATTAAAACTTTACAGCACTTTAAGTATTCTCTTTTTTATCGTATTTACTATTTTCTGTCTTCTTATGACATATTTAGTTAACATTCAACCGGTTTCGTGAATTCAAAGGTCACTCCTCGGGATGTAGTTTTACAACTAAACTATAAAAAAATTTTCAGATACAAGTTTTCAAGTAAAAATACGTAATCTGAGTTAAATTCACATTTTTTTTTTAATATACACACATAAAATACAATGTTTAGACAAATTAAATACATTAAAGTATATTCCAATATAAATTAGTTTAAGCTTATAAAATATATTTTCACTTTTTCTATTCTTTTATCATTTTTTGTTTAGATTAAAACTTTACCTCAATTATTTTTTCCTGTTATTATAGGAAAACAGTTTATTTCCTTAATCTTTAAAATGTCATAAAAATTCTTCTTACTCACTTTTATTGTGCTTCCTGGTAGAATGTGTAACCGTTACACAATTCCTTACTCAATTACTGCCTTCTTATCTCTACTTGTTTAAACTGGCGCCAAAAACATTTATGAAATATTTTACAAAAAATAATATTTCATGTTTTATATTACATGTCCAAAAAGGGAACACATGAAAATATGTTTTTTTCAGAATTTTAAATTTTGTTCGTAATATATTCTTTGATATGAATGGTGGCATATAACGGGCTATTTTCCGGAAACCTAATACGGAATTTATATAAATCCACCCTTAATCTCAAATTATCTGTTTCTTCAACGTAGAATTCACCACAGTTTATACATTCTAAAATCTAATACATTTCTAGAATTGCAAGTAAAAAATATTGATGAAAAACAAAATATCTCTATTGTTTTTCGTTGCTGTTTTTGTAGTTTTATTATAACCGAAATGCTATTATTTCTTTCACAACCGAAAATATCTTCATTCGAAAAATATTCTTTAGGTTTATTCAGTAAATCCATATATATTTTTAGTTTTTCGTCTTGATAAAATAATTTTATTATCTTTAAAAACATGTTTCAGTTTTTTTTTATCTAATGTTTGTTTTAGTTGTGTATTAACAAATTAAATATCAATATGTATAATTGGACAATGAGTCACAACTAAAGGTTTAATATTCTTTTTTAGGCTTAAAAATCTCATTCTACATTCTAAGTGACATTTGAAGTCGCAAAACCTGATGAATGTCAACCAAGTCATATGATAAGAAGATAAAGAAACAGAAGAGTTCGAGCATTATGTTGTTTTAATATTTACATCCACAATGGAAACTTTAATTTGTTTTGATTATATAAATACATTTCATATTTAACTAATAAGCTTAAACTCCCAAACTTGGTGAAATCATATTTCGTTTGAAGGAATGTAATAGTTTCTTTATTGCAAAATTTTAATATTAAGTTTAAATTTTAAGTTTTATTATTCGTTGAAATGGATTTTGAATTTTATATTTAATTAATACAGACATGTGGTAATTTTTGTAAACTTTCGTAAAGTTTTATTTAAATTTTAAGGACTTATTTATTTTTATTTTTATTCCATAAAATGTTGAACTTCCTCAATTTCAGTCAACTTCTCAATATTACAGTCTTGTCTAACTATATTCACTTAACTTCTCAATATTACAATCTTGTCTAACTATATTCACTCCACTTCTCAGTATTACAATCTTGTCTTACTATATTCACCTAACTTCTCAATATTACAACCTTGTCTTACTATATTCACTCAACTTCTCAATACTACAATCTTGTCTAACTATATTCACTTAACTTCTCAGTATTACAATCTTGTCTTACTATATTCACTCAACTTCTCAATATTACAATCTTGTCTAACTATATTCACTTAACTTCTCAATATTACAATCTTGTCTTACTATATTCACTTAACTTCTCAATATTACAATCTTGTTTTACTATATTCACTCCACTTCTCAATATTACAATCTTGTCTAACTATATTCACCTAACTTCTCAATATTACAATCTTGTCTTACTATATTCACTCCACTTCTCAATATTACAATCTTGTCTTACTATATTCACTTAACTTCTCAATATTACAACCTTGTCTTACTATATTCACTTAACTTCTCAATATTACAACCTTGTCTTACTATATTCACCTAACTTCTCAGTATTACAACCTTGTCTTACTATATTCACTTAACTTCTCAATATTACAATCTTGTCTTACTATATTCACCTAACTTCTCAATCTTACAACCTTGTCTTACTATATTCACTTAACTTCTCAATATTACAATCTTGTCTTACTATATTCACTTAACTTCTCAATATTACAATCTTGTCTTACTATATTCACTTAACTTCTCAATATTACAATCTTGTCTTACTATATTCACTTAACTTCTCAATATTACAATCTTGTCTTACTATATTCACTTAACTTCTCAATATTACAATCTTGTCTTACTATATTCACCTAACTTCTCAATATTACAATCTTGTCTTACTATATTCAATTTCATTGTATTTATCTTTTCAATTTTTCATTTTATATCAACAGATGAAGAAACCTTATAATTCAAGTACCCTCAAACTGAAACTTTATTAGAGGTAAAATTGGAAGGTTTTATTCTGTATATATTTTTGATAAATCAAAATGTATCAAAATTTCCAAAATATGCAAATGGTATTCGTTTCATCGTTTAGATGTTTTTCCGATAAGTAGCTTCAGTCAGGAGTAATTATAATAATTATGAAAATGGGCATAACAGCAAAGAAATAAACAAATCATGGCCAAGTGGTTAGGGCGCTCGTCTCGCAATCTGCGAGTCGCGGGTTCGAGTCCCCGTCACACCAAACATGCTCGCCCTTTCAACCGTGGGGGCGTTATAATATGACGGTCAATCCCACTATTCGTTCATAAAAGAGTAGCCCAAGAGTTGGCGGTGGGTGGTGATGACTAGCTGCCTTCCCTTTAGTCTTACACTGCTAAATTAGGTACGGGTAGCGCAGATAGCACTCGTGTAGCTTTTCGCGAAATTCATAACAAACCAATAAACAAATCAAACAACGAAGTTATTGACGCTGCTTTAAGACCCCGATGCGGCCTTGCGCAATAGCAAATACACAAACTAACGGATCTGTTATGAAATTTTCCTGTAAAACTGGTATTTCCTAAAAGAGATAACGTTCTATTTTCGCACGAGAAAAGAAAATAATTTTTTTTTTCGTTTAACTTTATCTTGGTAGACTAAGATAATCTGAATACCGTTATTCGTTAAACTGTTTGTTTGTTTATACGATTTACTGAAATAAAGGGCGAAATTCCCACTACAAAAGTGCTAGCACTTGTATATGCAAGTTATAATATTGTTTACTAAAAGAAATACACGCAGTTTTGTTTCTTATAACAACACTCATAGTGAGTACAATTATAAATTATATTTGACATTCCACGGAAAACTGCTCGACTTTGTCCATAATGTTAATTTTTTATGGTTTAAAGAAACAAATATATTTATTAAACAGACTGCTAAGTTAAAAATTTCATAAATGTAAACTTTTTTTTGCTTCTTATTTCGTTGAATGACAAAAAATATATTATACGCGTTCATATCAGGGGCTGGTACTAATCACAGCGCATCAGTCAATAAAACATGCAATTTTAAAATATTCGTCGTTATTGACCAATCATACAAGCCAGATGAGACTACCCGACTGGTTTAATAATGATTGACACTGAAACAAAAATTAATTTATTTACGTCATTTATTGGTTAATTTGAAAAATATTTAATGACTGGTTTTGAAAACTTTAATGGAGCGCAACTGCCTGTTGAAAGAAAAGAGCATGACGTTTCGGCATCTATACTGGGGCCTTCGAAACGTCGTCTCCACTTCTTTCAACAGGCAGTTGTAGTCCGTCAAAGTTTTTAAACCTACTATGTCTTCTGTGCCTGAAGTTCCACTGAAACAATATTTAATGATTGTTGAGGTTTTGTGAGTCTTGAAGTATATGTTTTCTGACAGTACAATAGAAGGCATGTGGGTTGGAAGAAAGGAGGTCATATAAGTCGTGGTACCAATGAGTATCGGCCTAACTGAAATTTATAATGTTTAATGGTTTCTTTGAGAAAGAGAAAAAGAACAGATATGTTCTATATGTTGATCCAATGTTAACTTTTGTTTTACCGGACGCCATACTTACCCCAGTCAATTACAGAGCTATGTTTAGGTACTTAAGTTCAAATACTTTTATTCTACTAATAACTCTTAATGACCTTTCAACGAAACCAGAAAACATTAACCGGATTCAAAGCTACGGAGCTACGTTTTATTAATATATCAGGAATGCTCTGAGCTACATTTTATTAATACATCAGGAATGCTCTGAGCTACATTTTATTACTACACCAGGAATGCTCCGACCTACGTTTTATTACTACATCGAGAATGTTCCGAGCTACGTTTTATTACTACATCGGGAATGCTCCGAGCTACGTTTTATTACTACATCGGGAATGCTCCGAGCTACGTTTTATTACTACATCGAGAATGTTCCGAGCTACGTTTTATTACTACACCAGGAATGCTCCTAGCTACGTTTTATTACTATATCAGGAATGCTCTGAGCTACATTTTATTACTACACCAGGAATGCTCTGAGCTACGTTTTATTACCACACCAGGAATGCTCTGAGCTACGTCGTGCATTTCCTTGTTAATAAAAGTCTATTAATTTTAGATATTGTTAAAGAAAAGAAATGGATGATATGTGGGAAACAAAGAATGTTCTTCTTAAACATTATCGTTTAAATGTTAGTTCTTCTTAAACATTATAGTTTAAATGTTAGTTCTTCTTAAACATTATAGTTTAAATGTTAGTTCTTCTTAAACATTATAGTTTAAATGTTAGTTCTTCTTAAACATTATAGTTTAAATGTTAATTCTTCTTAAACATTATAGTTTAAACGTTAGTTCTTCTTAAACATTATAGTTTAAAATGTTAGTTCTTCTTAAACATTATAGTTTAAATGTTAGTTCTTCTTAAACATTATAGTTTAAATGTTAATTCTTCTTAAACATTATAGTTTAAATGTTAGTTCTTCTTAAACATTATAGTTTAAACGTTAGTTCTTCTTAAACATTATAGTTTAAAATGTTAGTTCTTCTTAAACATTATAGTTTAAATGTTAATTCTTCTTAAACATTATAGTTTAAATGTTAGTTCTTCTTAAACATTATAGTTTAAACGTTAGTTCTTCTTAAACATTATAGTTTAAATGTTAGTTCTTCTTAAACATTATAGTTTAAATGTTAGTTCTTCTTAAACATTATAGTTTAAATGTTAGTTCTTCTTACTTGATAAACTGTTGTATAATATTAGTATTAGTGCTTGCTCCCGTTTTTTATATCAAAACGTTTTTCAGCACCACCTATCTGTAGACGTTTGTCTTTATATGTTTTTTATGAAGTTATCTTCATATTTTTCCTTGTGTTCATGTGACCCACAGTATTATTGACAATTGGTGATGATTCCGCATCATTATAAAGATTTAGAGACTTTATCCACAATTGCAGGACATTTGGCTTCTATTGTGTCAATAAGTAAAGAGAAATAAGAGGTGTCTCATGAATAATGTGCCCCCCCAGTGGCACAACGGTATGTCTGCTGACTTATAAACGCTAGAAACCGGGTTTCGATTCCCGTGGCGGGCAGAGCACAGATAGCCCATTATGTAGCTTTGTGCATAATTATAAAGAAACATGAATAATATGTCAGTGTTATAAAGTAATGATAATGTTCCAAATGATACCCCTACTTTTTAACAAAATATTTTTTTACAGAATAAATTATTGAAATGTTTATCATACAAGAAAAAGTAATATTTTCAAAGTTACCGAATTGGCTAGATGAATGTGTGATGTTCTGCAAGAAGTAATCAATAAATTAATAAGCACAAGAAGCGTTGGCCTTCGACGTCAAGTCACTTTCGATTTAATTTCAACGCAACTCTTCTCAGTTCGTATAATTTAACACGTACAGAACCTTAAAAGAAGAGTTACCCATTTTAACAAGGTTGGGTGTTCATAAACCTTGACCCTGAAATGTTCTTTCACTAAACTAAACCTTTGGAATGTTCATAAAGTCTAGTGCAGCCATGCGCAATCACGTGCACATGATAGAAACGCTTACTATAATAATTGATTTGTCGTAATTTACAAAAAGCAAAAAAAAA